TTAGTCTCATTGTTTATATATCTCATAATACGTTTCTCTCTTTTAATAATTTATTTTTTTCAATATTATATAGATTATATAGATAAATTATATTGTTTATAATTTATAAATATATTTATATAGATTAATTTGTTACGTTAGCTCTCTATACGAAAGCTTTCTTTTGCTTTTTCCATTTTTCTTAATCAGAAATAAGTTACAGTATTGTATTTCTAGTTGTTAAAGAACACCCAGGAATTTTTCTTACTTTTCCTCTCACTAGATGTATTTATGTTTTTATGCAGTTTTTCGCGACAAATAACACATCGCATAAATAATGTTTATCTTTTTATTCTCACTAATTAGCTTGGTGTTCCATTTCCGCTTCGAGCTAACTGGTAGACAGAAGTAACTTATTAAGTAACTGAAACTTCTTCAGTTTAAACCAGACGACGACCGTTTGCTACGTATTTTTTATTTACATCTTTTTTTGAACAGCATATACTATTTCATGCATTTTAATTTGTAATTATATATGTAATTATTGTGCAATAGTTTTTAATGAATGGGTTGATGTAATCTTAAAAATTCAATCGACAACAAAAAAGCTGTAAACATGCGTTACTACTCTCATATAATCGAGTATTTTATTCGATTTACAATAACAATTAATGAATTTTACCAAACTGCTTATGCATCACGTCCACAGGTCACTATCCGGCTCGAAGGACCAAAAATTGTTGCTTCACGAGTGAATTCTGTGGAAATCTGACGGGTTGTAAGGCCGTATCGCGATCTCATTATGTTGCCCACCAAATTAATATTGGACATCTGTTTCAATTGGCACGAGCAAAAGGATAATCTCGGCTAGAATCGAACGATAGATTCTTGTACGACGATAGGAATTGAACTCTTGGAGGTCTTGATTCGTAGGCTTGAACCGTTCTCGATGAGATTTCGTTTAGAAGCGTGTGCTCCTCGATTTTCTTAACCGTTTGAGTCCCAGAGGGTTTTGAAAAAACAGTGTCAAAGAATCCCAAACAGCGCGACCGCGCTTTCCCTAAGTGAATACGAACGTACCCAAGCAGCGTGATAGCGCTTCTTCTATTTTATGTCCACATATCCCAGACGGCGCGATAGCGCTTCGTTTATTTTACGCGATGAATGCCAAGTAGCGCGATAGCGCTTCGACTTCGACAGTCGGTGACGGACCGCCAGCTGTTGAGAACGCTCGAAATGTGCTGAGTTTTCTCGACATGAAATCTGAACAGCGCGATCGCGCTGCTTGGGATTCAAACGGTTAAGATCGGCCTTAGGAAAAATCGGGAGCTCGTCAAATAATATTGACTAATTGGATCAAGGGCGTTCCCTTGGTTCGCAAATTGGTCAACTTGAAGGAAGGGAAGGTCCTTCCAAACGAAAACGGTGGTGGAGGGAACTCTCTTCTTCAAGGTTAGGTACGCAGGGTACCCTATCCACCGTTTATGGCCCCTTACTATGGCCTGAGGATTCCAACGTGTGCAGACCACGTGAAACCCTCAGACCTATCGTCAGTCAAGTCTTAAGAGCCTTCGCCTAATTTCGTTAAATTAGAGTTTCAAGAATTCTCATGTTCCGCGAATAAAAGTGAAAGTTTTCAAAAATGCAGAAAGCATGGATAGGAAAATTCCGATGCAGAATTGTTCTGACCCTAAAGACCTGGCTGTTGGAAGACCGTACCGGTGTTTTCCTTGTTCCACGACGGAACAGCTTAATTCTTAGAAATTGCTTGGAAGTGAATGACTTGTAAATTAATAACAAATGAATTTAGATGTATCTATATCGTATGCTACCTTTTGGCTCAGAATGGCTTATTTATTTTGAAATTGTCCATTATTTTATGGAATATTTTTTGACATAGTTTTAAAACACATAATTTACGGATTGTTAAAGTTATACAGTCTATTCAAACTTATTCCATATTTGGTTTAATAACATAGAGATACGTCATAATAAGGACAACATATCGTAATACTACCGTGTAAGAAAAATTTTAACTGCTTTACCAAACATTCTCCTTTTTTAATATACACTGGGCCAATGACTTTGAAACTGACTGTATATTTTACTTAAACAAAATCGAGTATGGTATTCTTCTTTACACATTATAGAAAACAATTATAGAAATTCATAACTATTACAAAAATTATCAAACATTTTAATTACAATATCTTAATCATCTTAATTACCGATGTATTTCAACTTGACATAGTTTCCAAGCTTCTTCTACCGCGCATGCTCATATGACGAAAAAGCAGTAAACAATAGCTTACCATGTAATGGAGTATATATGCAATCGCTTTTATGACCCAGTTGCAAAACATTCTTGACTAAGCGTTCAATGTAAACGCGTTTCACCATTCTGCATGCTTTTTCGCGTTCAAAAACTAAAAGCTCTTTGTGTTCCCTGACAGAGTGTTTTTAACGCCATTCGTTCTGCGAGCATATCATACGCTGTACTTTCAAAGAATGCACTTTGAGGAAGATACACAAATAACTAATTTTCCGTGGCATATATATGTTTCAAATACAATTTCACGTAGGACATACATATATATATGTACTTTGAATTGCAAATATAGATATTTCACAGAGTTTACACATTTGGTATGTATCGTAACTGTCCAAGATTGCATTTATTAGCTTTTTTGGTATACAAAATTTTAACCTTATTTTTACTTATAATGACTACTGACGAAATATGTACTGAAGAATGTAGAGCATCCTGTGTATACAAATCTTGTCTAGCAAAAATCTGATACATGGATGTAAAAGTCATATTTGTACCAGTAGTTAGAGGAGTGTCGTAAATCATATGCATTTCATTTTTGAATATTTCAATCTTTGCGCTTGCATAAATTAAATAAATCGAAGTATAAATTAAAAGCTTAGATATGACACAACTATTAATTCGTATTAAATGATAAATTAACTTCCTTTAGGTCTTTTATTTTGGCCACTTTCGTAATTACTCATTTAGTTGAATTATTTGTAAGAGAAACGGGATGAAAAAGGGAAAAAATTTAATTCTGAATTGTAATATTTACTTTTTTAACGTGGTGAAATACTATAATAACAAGGCAGTATTTGACTTTTAATATGATTTAAGGATTACATAAATATTATTTGAAAGACGACTATACGGGGATGCACTCTAATTTTTCAAATGCATTGAATCTGACACCGTGTCTAAATTACTGTGGCATAGCACAAAATATAGAATGGCATTACGTGTGCTATTTGTTATTCGTCATCTGAAATTTACACCAATACTTTTTCACTGTTGTGCATTTTAAAATTTCAGCTAGTAATTTTGTTAACGACGGAAAAAGACGATTGAGAAACATTCCAAATGTTGTTTTATATTATTAACAAATATTATCCTAACCAACACAGTTCACGTCAGAATTCAAGAGAAATTATTAGTATTCGAAATAAAAATTTGCAACTGTAATACTTCCTTTGGAACAGATGAAGCAATTCGAAGCAGTTTGCACTTATAAAAGTTGAGGAAGTACACTTTTAAATTTTCAGAAAAACGTAGATTATTGATGTCGATTGACTCTATTCATCATTTCTTACTGTTGCTTTAATTTCATATATTTAATCAATCGGAAAATTTGCATATTCTTCCTGCAAATGCAATTAGTAAGTTAAACAGTATCATTACTTTCAGTTCAGTACGAGATATTTTTTAGCTGACAGGAGAAAAGGTAAACTGATGTTCTTTATCTTATCGGTGGTACTTAAAGTGATATTTATTTCGACCATTAAAACGATCATTAAATGCAACGAAGTACGAGTTAAGTAGCAAAAAAGGTATCATGGTCGTAAAGTCGATTAGTCATCACAGTATACATGTTTCACATGCTTGGCAATTAATATACCAAAAGAGAAGATAAAAATCCGAGAATAAAATATTATGCACAAGCACATTAACATTTTTATTAAAGTAATTTATTCAAAGTGTCTCAAGACATATTCTTTCCTTGATTGTTTTGCTTCAAAATTCTTTTAAACGAAATAATGAGAAAAATTAATCTGCATAAAAAATAAACATGTTTTATTTAATATTGTATTTACATTTATGAAAATGATTATTTAATTCCCTCTGAAATATTAAATTTTTTCCTTTGATTTTTACGTGTAATTGTGTTTCAACATGAAAGATAATAATTATTAGTTTACGATTTATTTTACAATTTATTCGATTTGTATAGAATGTTGTGACATCGTCGAAATTTTATTGTATAAATACTTTATATTGCAATAATAAAAATATTGCAATAAAGAAATAAATAAAAATCTCAAAAAATCAGATATTTGATGAATAAAGATCGTCTTAAAAAAATCATTACACATATAATACGTGCTTAATATTTGTATATAATATTTTTATATATCTGTGACAGTGAGAAGTCAGTTACTCGTAATTCTATAAAAAAAAAAGCAAAGTAATATTCCCAATAAAATGGAAAACATTTTTTCAAATGATTGAATCAAAGTACTGCAACAAAATACACAGCGTCATGCGTTTTTCTGCGATATACCAACTCTCGTTCGTTCGATCGTAATATTTACATTGCTTTACAAATATAGTTTAACCATTTTCAATCTACACCGCTGTACAAATCTAGTTCAACAATTTTTAATTTTCTTTGTTGGACGAATGTAGTTGAACAAGTTAACAAATAAATATAAATTTCATCTCTTACATATTCCTATACCATAACTTAACCGACCATTTTCAGTTTCCCTTCCGTAAATATAAATTTAAATTTCTCAAACTGTGTTCGTCTACCATAAGAAAGCAGTTTAAAATTTCAATTATATCATTAGTTGCATTTTTTGAGTTCTAGTATTTTTATATATACTGTGAAATAACGATTTGAAATAAACTTTATCGTATATTTTATTACAATTAATTTTATTATATATCGCGTTTGAATTTTTACTACAAACCTTTCATTTTGTGTTACAGGTTGGACGATGAGAAATTGGATATCATTAATGTAAGTACCTCAACATTAACATAGACAAAGAATGGTTAAGTTTGAACATTCTTAAATATCGTTACTTTTAATTTAAGAACATTTAGCTCTTTTTTGATGTAAATGTATTACGTTCACATCCATGTAATCAAGGTATCGAATATAATATAATATTATATTTATTGGAGTTTAAAGTAAGAAGAATTTCGATCTAAAATATATCCGCTCCAGCGATAAAAATATTGTAAACTTTAAGCTAATATATGGTATTGTTTATCTTATAAATTATACGTACTTCATAGAAAAAATTAGTATTCGATTATAATGATTTTTTAATTATATTTGTTTGATTTTTGAGTATCTTTTTCGTACGATGAACATAGCTTAAATATAATTACGTATAATAAATTCAATGTAACTTGTAAATAAATGCAATTAAGTATAATTTTTATTTAAACATTCTTTAATACAATTTAATGTAGAAACGTAAAAATCATGTATTCAATTTTATTTATTTATAACATGAATAGCTAAATTCATTATTATAGCTTACATTTCCTTTCTATTATTTTATCACGTTAATATTTTATTGCCTTATAACCGATTCTTACGATTTGCAAACAAAGTTAAATTTTCAAAAGTTTTCATTCCAAAAGTGACGTTGATGATAATTTATTTATCTCGAGAAATATATTTCATATAACGTAAAAGTTAAGCGAATTATAAATAATTCGTTTCGATGTATTAAAATTTATTCAGCGCGTATGTAAAAATTCCATAGGACAACTTTTTTTTCCCAATTATTTTGAAACGAAAAATAAAAAATAAAGTATTCCATATGCAGGAAAGTTCTTCCGATTTATATATAAAAATAATTACCTCCTTTCAATTTTCTACGCAGATTATTTTTTGGAAAAGAAAAATCGATCTTGTTGAAATTCTTTAATTTACCGTAAACTCGTAAAACTGGTGGTGAAGGAAGGTGTACGTATAATTGTGACAGGTTTTCCATCCCACCTGATCTAGATGTACGGCATGTGGGAACTAGAAATGGAGCGTGGTAAATGGACGCGTTCTATGTCGTATCAAACGTTACCGGCGTCGTAGCAGTCTAATGCACCACGTCGCGGGCATAGCTGTATGCGCCAAATAACCGGAAATTACCGGGCGCATTTCAATCAGAGTACCCGGCAAGCTTCGAACACGCGGGGCCATCGTTTACTACGCATAATAGTCGGTCGTATGATAATCTCGCAAATCGAGCCAGGGAGCAGCCTCTGAAAACCGATTGCTCCGTTCTCTGGTAAACCTCTCCCAGTGAACGGCGACGATCGATCATCAAACATGGCGAAAAGGCATATTTGATCTGTTTACCGTGTTATAGCTTCTAACGCGAATTTATCTTTGACGGAATTTCCTGCGGGTGCGTTCTAATTTTATGTATTTATTTTATTTCGTACAGCTTCAATTTTATACCTGATTTTTATTTCAATACCGAAATTGCGAATTTACCAAGTGACCAATGTTTGAAGCAAACCTTATCGAGAAAAAAAATTTTTCAACATTTCGGTTAAATAAATTTCGATAATTTTTCAACCAGAAGTTAATTACTGTTCAGCCAGTTTTCAACGGGGAAAAAAGAATTTTGAAAAATATTTTTGATAAGCTTTGATTTATTACATATATGTAATGTATTATAAATTATTGTGTTATTCACATATACGAATTTATGTATGTAAATTTGGAGTAAAAGTTTCCTTTCAAAACTTGTTATGAATATTAGTAGTTAACAGGTATTTATAACAATATTTCTGATGAAGAGAAAAGTATTTTGAAAAATGATAAATATTTCGAAAATAAAAATTAATAGAAAAATAATTAATTCTAGAGTAAAATTTTGAAACAATTGAAAGAATTATGTATATATACTAATCAATTCATCGTGGTACACCGAAACGATAAATGCATATTGTTGTAATATTTTTTCTAATCTTTTATTATTTTTTCCTTTAATCGAGGTCGGTAGGAAAATAATGGATTCATTTTCTCTTTTCATTTTATAGTATGATAATAAACGTAACTTTCATTTATATTAGAAATTATTTTTCCCATTACTTTGCATATTTGCAATTTTATATTACATTTTTTGTGAGACATGTAATCATAAAATTTTATCTTTCAAGTTATGGTACTTCAGTAATCACTACCAATATTAATGTAATTTATGTATGAAGCAGTTTTAATAACTGCAATCAGGCAGACTTAAGAATTAAAAATATCTCCCAACGTCAGAAATGTCATTTTCTCAAATACTTAAAGGCTGTAGTTTATAGAAAAGTGATTTAAATATAAAATTTATGTACACGTATTCGTGAATAAGTAATTCGATCACATAATGCTAAATAACTATTTTCAGGCATATGTTACAAATTTATAACTTTTTGTTCATTTCGTAGATAAATTCTGAACTCATATTTACGATTTCAATAAAATATTTTATTTGTACATAATTCGATATTTGAATTGATATTATAAAGTAGTAGTTGAATTAGAAAATTAAATTATTCTTAAGGCACGTTATTCTATAACTTTGCTTTCAGTATTGTTCGGCAATTGCACGTTTTATCGCGTGATATTTATTGTTCATCAGTGAAACTCACGTTTGATTCAGAAAAGAAAATTGATATAGTATCTATTCGTTTTATACCAATTTACTAGAAAAACATACCTTTATCGAATGTATCGAAAATAACACACCAAACTAGCTCTCAACTTCCAAACTATAAAATGACTTATCTAGTAGGTGGTTGGTTGGTGATACTATTTCCACATATTCGTGACAAAACGGTTATTCTTTCAATTCTTGTCTCGTTATGTTACGGCAACCTGTTTCTACATTACCCCAATTTTTTGTTTGTGCCTCTTCTTTTCATACTAAACCCTGAATCCTAAATTCTAAATCTTAACCACTTCGGTACAGTGCTTATCGGCCTCGAAACCTTGCCCACAGCTGGCACTCATTAGTGCGCACGATACATTGTGCTGTGTATTGACAACGAATCCGCTTTACTCTTTTACAGATCTGTGATAAGGAAATGTTTGAAGCACTGAAAACTTGTTTACATTACAGACAGCTTTACTTGTAATGTAAATCGACAGAACATATATTTTTATTACAATATTTCTAAATGTTCACAATTTTATTTTGATAAATGAGAAATTAGAAAATTTAATTAAAAATTATTGTTTTAATACATTATGAGTCTAAGATTTATAAAAATTAAAACGTAACATAAAAAATAAAAAACGAAAAATTTCGAAAATAACTTTATTATATTATTACTTACATGAATCAAAACCATATGTCGCGTCGCGTCGCGATCGAAATTCTCGTATGTCCGACGGGTTATAAGGCCGTCTCGCGACTACGACACGTGTTGCCCGCCAAATTAATATTGGGCAACTGTTTAAGTTGCACGAGCGGAAAAGAGTCGTGTCTACGACGGTCGACGTTTCGAAAAGAACGTGGCGTGTTGTTGATTTCAATCGGTTAGACGGAGCTTTTGAAGAGAACCGTGTCTCTGAGGTCTCGAACCGAACTGTTTTAGAGAGAACCCGGGTCTCTCAGATCTCGAACCGAACTGCTCGTTGTTTTGAGAGGACGTGTCTTTTAGAGAACCCGTGTCTCTCGGATCTCGTACGGAACTGAGCTCCTCGATCTTCCTAAGATCGGTCTTAGGAAAAAATCGGGAGCTCGCCAAATATGATTGGCTGTTTTTGACCAAGAGCGTTCCCTTGGTTCGCGAATCCGTGACCTTGGAGAAAGGGAAGGTTCCCCCAAAAACAACGATAGTGGAGGAAACCCTCTCCTCCAAGGTGGGGTACCTGGGGTCCACCCGCGCGCCGGTGACCCCATCGGTCGTTTGTTACCCCCAGCGAAGGCCTGAGGCTTTCAACGTGTGCGGACCACGTGGAGCTCTCAGGCCTTTGTCAGCCAAGTCTTAAGAGCCGTCGCCTAATTTCGTTAAATTAGGGATTTCCAGGATTCTCGTGTTCCGCGACACGAGAAGTCAAAGAAAAAAGGTAAAGCATTCAAACGTGCTGAAGGCATGGAGCGGAAAATTCTGATGCCGAATTGTTCGACCATAAGACCTGGCTGTTGGAAGACCGTAACGGGTCTTCCTTGTTCCACGACGGAACACCATACTATAATAACTTCCACTAAGGGCATGCAAAAGGTCATTGATTCGAAGTAACTTACTAGCTGAACTTACACATTGCTACTGTAGAACCAAAGCGAAAGTTCTTGACCGTCGGCGAAAGTCGTCGCTCGGCTGTTCACGTTCATCTCTGGTTGTCCACTATAGTCGACGCTCGTACCGAAGTGGTTAAACACTTAATTTTGGATCCTGAAATTTAAATTCCGAGTCTTGAATCTTGTATTATTGTTCTTCTTTTTGTTTAAGCACTATTTTTCTTCCTCCATTTTTGGTTAAAAGGAACCCTTATCCTTTTGGTTAGCTATTAACTCAACAAAAAATTCGTATCCTTCTGACGTCCCTGTGCCAAATATTGAAGAATCGAATTAACTCATTTGCATCATGGCTGTACTTAAGGTGCCGTGTTCAGGCATCAGTGATGTTCAACTGACGACTATCCCGTATCACCGCGCGTGTATCAACACCTACTCATAATGGCAGTTAAAAGGATTTTCACGACAAAAGTAAAACTTGTTAAGAATATAATGAACCGATGTAGATGAGATACTCACAAAAGGGATCAAACGTGATCTGTGGCATATGAAGAATATTCAGCAACTGGTAATGGAAAAGTCAACTCGCGGATTATTCCGCGCTCGGTGATAGACGATAGTCGTGGTTCGCGGAATATTCCGCGCTCGATGATAGACGATAGTCGTGGCTCGCGGAATATTCCGCGCTTGGATGCAAATGGATTCATTAATGCTAATCTTATCATTAATTGATGTTTGGGCGGTACACGCACCTATATTACTCATTCTG